AGAGAGAGAGAGAGAGAGAGAGAGAGAGAGAGACAGAAAGAGTGTAGGATAGACACAGAGAGAGATAGAGCGATGGAGAGAGAAAGAGAGTGCAGGATAGAGACAGAGAGAGACAGAGACAGACAGAGCGATGGAGAGAGAAAGAGAGTGTAGGATAGAGACAGAGAGAGACGGAGACAGACAGAGCAATGGAGAGAGAGGTGGGCTATGGAGCAGTAGCGTAGTGGAGTTCCATTTCACAGCAGCGTTGACGAGTTGGAGTTTGACATGCTCCATACTCGGATTGGTCAACGTTTTATACAGTAAACGTTGACCTGGCCCTTGCCCCGGGCTGGGCATTGACCTGATCTTGGGCCCAGGTTGACGTGAGTGTGGACCTGGGCCTGTTCTCAGGTTTGCATGGGTGTGTGCTAGGACCTCAGGCAAGGGGTTTAAAAAAAAAAAAAAATGTGGCAGGTAATCAGAGAGACAAATAGGCAAGACGACAGGCAGACAGGCGGGCAGGCAGACAGACAGGCAGGTGGACAGCCATGCAGGCAGACAAGCAGACGGGCTGACAGGCAGACGTTGACGTGGGAGACAGGCAGACGAACAGACATGCAGACAGGCCGAGGGACAGGTGTTACTTGACAGCCAGGCAGACAGTCACGCAGACAGGTGTTGACGTGGCAAACAGGCAGACATTGACGCAAGCAGGCAGGCATGCAACAGTCAGGCATGCAACTGTCACTCAATCTGTCTGTTTGTGACGTTGACGTGACCCTATGTTGACGCTATACTAAGGTTTGTCCGGCGCTATAGTGACGTTGACCTGGGACCATACATCAGTATAGCGTCAGTCAACGTCACTATAGCTCCAGGAAACGTCAGTGTAGCGTCAGTATAGGGTCAGGTCAACATCAAATTTTTTATGTTTATTATCCTGATGTTGACCTGGTCCTGTAGTGGCCCGCGGTGCATTCAAATTTGTTCTGTTTATTATCTTGATGTTGACCTGTATAGACTCCTATCCGGCAGGTCTACAGATCGAACCCATGCTACCCATGGACCCTACGACAACGTATCAGCTGTTACAACTACACAGGTTGCGGGTTCAACTCTACGGGCCGACACAGGTACTGTACACAGGTAAGGTTGGGGTCTAGGGATCGAACCCCGGGATCTGCAGCAGCTACTGCTAACTGGTGAATACCGTTTCACTTGGGCATTGGGCCCACTTTTAATTTAAAAAAAAAAAAAAAAAAAACTGCAATTTTGGCATTTGAGCAGCTTGGGCCTGCAGGTGCAGGTCCACGCCCAGGTGCACCCGCGACAGCGGGCCTGCACCTGGGCCCAGGTGGAGCCCCAGGTGCAGCCCCACGCCCAGGCCCACGTGCAGGTACAGATGCACGCCCATGTGCAGGCCCCGCTGCAAGGCCTGGCCCATGTACAGATGCAGGCCCATGTATAGGTGCAGGCCTGCTGTGCAGGCCCAGGTGCAGGCCCCCTGGGCCTACACCTGGGCCTGCACCTGGGCCTAGGTGCAGGCTCGCGGTGGAGGCCCAGATGTTGGCCCACGTGCAGGTACAGACGCAGGCCGAGGTGCAGGCCCAGGTGCAGCCCCGGGCCCAAGTGCAAGCCCAGGCCCAGGTGCAGGCCCAGGCCCATGTGCAGGCCCACATGCAGGCCCACGTCCAGGCCCGCATGCAGGCCCATGTCCATGTACAGGTGCAGGCCCAGGTGCAGGCCCAGGTGCAGGCCCACGCCAAGGCACACACCGATGGGACACCCAAGTGCAGATGCAGGCCCAGATGCAAGCCCAGGTGCAGGTCCAAGTGCAGGTGCAGATGCAGGCCCAGGTGTAGGCGCAGGTCCCGGTGCAGGGCCAGGTGCAGGCCCAGACTCAGGTGCAGGCGCAGGTGCAGGTGCAAGCTGAGGTGCAGGTGCAGGTGCAGATGCAGGGGCAGGGATAGGCCTAGATCCAGGCTCAGGTGCAGCTCCAGGTACAGGCCCAGGCCCAGGTGCAGCTGCAGGTACAGGCCCAGGCCCAGGCCCAACTACCCAAC